ATTGTATTTCAACTCTGCTGTCTATGGAAAGTCAGAGACAGGCCACGCCATCGAGACAACATCTAGATAAGAGCGGCCATTGGAGCACCACAGTTTCTGGATGGATCAGGATGACGCATGCTTGGCACAACTCAGCGGTACTACCTTGAGAAGTGCCTTTCGAATTTCCGCATATCACAGCAGTCAAGGGAAGCACAGACTGAACAGCCCTACGAGGGCTACGTTGAACATATGACAGACTGTGGACCTCTCAACCCAGGAAAGGGTTGTGAAACAGTGAGTTGGCCATGGCAAATAATGGATGAGATTGAAGGCTGGTAGCGACGGAGCTGGTGTACCTGAAATTGACTCCTCTTCGTGCCGTGCCTGAGGACGAACTGGACGCCACAGTGCACTGTGATTGGACCAGGTCATCAAGTGTAATTTCCCGGCGAAAGAACGTGAGATGGTCCAGACCAGGGGCAGTCGAGCCACGCCCCAACAACGTAGGGGGCACATCCGGCTGCACAGGCAGGCAGATATTGATGGGATATTACGAGAAGAGCGAGCCATATGGCTGGTTGTTCAAGAGGCTGGCATAATAGCCACAAATTCAAGATATGCCAAGTAAGGGCGATGTTGATGGGTTGGTGTATGTACTGTATTTGTTGACTCTATCTAGGTGGCAGTTTTCGAGTGTCATGTTAGGAGGGTAGAAGAGACAAAGAAGTCCTTGCAGAGTGGCTGCAATGTTAATGGTGCTGGCTTGGGTCTTGGCCCTGTCCTCTATGAGTATCTCGACGCCCGCCGTGCCTCTTTCCTCTCGTGCATGATCATCCAGACAACCGGCATAGAATGTCAGCGTAGAAACGTATTCTCTATATATATCGAGGAGAGCTTGCCCTCGATAAGGGGATTCAAACTTGTTGCATCTCTGACTCCTGATACTGTTGAGACTGGCAGAGATTCATAATCAAGACAGGCAGTGGCATTAATATTCGGCCTCCGTGGGCATAAGATTCTCCTCCCGAAGCCCTCTTAGTAACAATAGTGCAGTACTACTTCACCACCACGACCTTCTCTCCACCTTCTCCCTCCAGGTCAATAATCATCCCTCTTCCATTTTCTTGCCGCTCTTTACTACCACTCCCATTACTTTTTCATTCTGAACTGTTCTCCTCGTTCATCCTTTACATACTATTCTCCATTTGATTCTATTCTGCTCCATATACCCTCGTCTTCTCGATTGTCCATTCATCTGTTTGTTTTCGCAAGCTCCCTACTTCCATCCCCGGTCGCAGCGCGTGTCTTCCAGCGTCAACCAACCGGAACAACTTCGTGCTGCTTACCGGTCGATAAATTTAAAGGAAGCGTCTGGCGATCCTGGATCTGGGTGAAATCGACGTCGACTCTCTGCTTACTCAAGGTTCATGATGCCCCAGAGGCTATGACTGCCGTCAACACTGCATCGTCGGGATCAATCCACAACTGCCGCCGCTACACACTTATGACCCAACCATAACGCTTTCGACTTGACGTCTTCCCTGAGCATMTCACGTTCTTTTGGATTATATCTACACATTCGCTACGCCGTTGACCGGCTTGTCACTCTTTTTTCCTCTCGATTCATCGTATCTTTGCTATAGAGCCAGTCGACGGCATCGTCCTTTCGCACCGTCCTTTTGCTTGTCACGACATATACCTGCACAGTTATCTTCCATCCGCCATCTTTGACCTCTTCATCATGTCTCACTCCATCGATCATCCCTTCTTCCCGCGCGGTATGTCCCTTTTGCCGTCGATACGCCCTCTATGATAGTTTACTAACCCGGATGATGTTAGCCATGTACTCTCGCGACTTCCAACAATGCGTCTCATGCGATTCAACAGCACCGTCATGTCCCGTCTGTGATGAGGGTTACGCATGTACGATGATCAGTCAATCGTGTAGCCAATGCGCCACTACCAAATGTGTTCAGCGATCCACTTCCACCAGCAGCTCCAGCAACTCGTCAGGCGGAGGCGGTACCAATGTGGGCGCTATTGCAGGAGGAGTCATTGGTGGAATTGCTTTCATTGCTATTGTCACATTTCTGATATGGTGGTTCTTCGTTCGCAAGAAGCGGAGTGAATACGATCAACAAAATGGTGACACTGCGGAAAAGAGAAGCGCATTCGGAGACGCTCGTCAGTCTCGGAAATCGACCAACTCGATTGCCTCCACAGTCTTGACTCGCGCATCAAATGTCATTCAGATAGCCTATATCCCCGGTGTCACCAACCGGTCACCGCCAGAAACGCCGGGCTCACTGGTGCCGCCGGTCCCGCCGCTCCCTGGCGCCTCCCCGGATCAGCACTTCTTTATGCCAGGCGACTTGCGCGACTCGGCCTGGTCCGATGTATCGCAGGCTCATCGCAGCTTTTCTCCCAGCTTGCGTAGCAGCGTTGCCACCACGATCTACCGCAACAACGCCATCGTCAGCCCGATGCCCGCCCAGCAGGTCATGCGCACTCGGGCTGCTGTTGTTAGCATCCATAACGGAGGCCAGCCTCCGTCCGCACCAGAAACGCCAGCTGTTCCCGCCATTACCAAAGCACAGCTTGCGAAGGCGGCATTTACAGAAGCCAACACCAAGAGCTCGATTGTCGCGCGGACAGTCACCGCCAAACCTGTCATGGTGAAGGCCACTGGCGCCAAAAAGACCACAAAGCCACCGACTGTTCAAGCCATCGAGGAGCAGACAGAGTCTAGCTCGTCTAGCACGAACGAGGCACGCTCCACCAGCACAGCAAAGCCCAAATTCGATGCTACGACCTCCACTTTTGATGCCAGTTCGTCAGACGATGAGAACGACGACAAGACATCCCACCACAAGGACAGCGTCGGGCAGACTCCGCCTGCCAGATCCTCTCACACCCCAACGGTGATTGAAGATTCACCTGCAGTCGATCAAAGTCCCTTCAAGGACCAAAATGCCTCTCAGAACGAGGCGCGATCGTCGGCCTTTCTGGATACGAATGACGGATCCAGGTCAAACAGAAGCAGCCGAGTACCACCTCCACGAGTCGAGAGTCCATTCTCAGACGCGAACGAGGTGAAATGAGCATTTTTATAACGATGAATTCTGGCGACTCTGGCGGAGAAGGGCATTGAATCAATTTTAGGGTCTTTTTTCCTTCGGCCAAGTCATATTTCTTACATTCACTTCTCTGTATCTATGAGCCGTTATGCTTCTTTGATATCAGCATGGGTCGCATTTCGATCCCTGTCAGATTTTGTTGCGTGATATTACCAATGTCAACCATTTCAGGTGGTGTCGACAGGAATCTGACCTAGATTATAAATTGGAAGCCTATCTCTCTATAGCACCTAAGAATTCTGTCATCGGCCTAGCAGAGGACCAAGTGAGACTTCAGTTGAATCAGAGTGAAGACAGAATGAGAGGCTGAAGAATGAAAAAAGGTAAAAGCATACAACAGTGAAAGTAAGGTAGTGATCACTAGGCTCTACTCATTATGTTCTAAGTGTGTGGCTGCCCTATTCAGGTTAATTCAGGCTAGTGTTCACCCTCGTAAATATTCCGTAGTAATTTACTAAGAACCCCACGGCAACCCTCACCTGCGCCTCTGACTATTGCGACATTCGGCAGCATCATGTCATTAATAGAACTATGCGTAGAAGTCTCTGGAGACCTTATAGAAGCATTGTATTCCGCTCACTTTTCAGATTATGACTGACGGCTCAACATTTCAACAATGGCTTCTTGTTGAATGCMGGGGCGATGATCAGCGTCGAGTTCCATGTGGTTCTTTTGCCCAGCTCTGTTTCCCAGTGCCTATTTCACCGCTGGTGGTACTTATCGAGAGGGTTGTAATGGCATGCATCGGACGAAATGTAGTCCAAAGCAGTCACAGATGACTGAACATTGGTTCCCGAGCAGTTTCTATAAGAGCATCCGCGTCTGCATGTGTCCTCAATCCAAGAGTTGAGAACTATTACACCATCACGGTCATAATTTCTGGGAATGCTCATACTTCCAGTGGACTTCTCGTCGCATGTGAAAAGGGCAGTAAAGCGGACCTAATAATGCTGAGACTTCAATCTGCCCTGGCCAATCAGTTGCTAATATGACAAGAGGATGCTGAATTCACTCGACATATAAATGAGGCATCTATTGATTTCAACTTTCTCTCTCCGTTCATTGTCTATCCCGTTACGAAGCCACGGCAATAATGAATGAGTGGGTACCGGTGGGAGATGAGTCCGGAGAAAATCTCCAGACTCTTAAATCACTGAGATATTCTAAGGCTCCTGAGCCAGAGGTGGCGCGCTGCGGGTATGCAGGCTGCTCAGAAATATCTATGCCTGCTGATTAACGCACCTAGAACGCTTCTTAGATTTATTAAACGAGGACATGACCCCGCGGATACTAAAAGTAATAGGGTCGATTTGAATTGCTACCCTTCGCCTATCAATAGCATCATAGAAAAGACACCTTGGGGGGTTCCTTCTTGAGTCTTCCGACAACCCGCAGTGAGCGGATTTAGAGTCTGCCAAATTCCGTCAATTCATACTCTCCAGTATCCTCGGAACCAACGCGGAGAAACGAGAGAATTGGAAAGAAAATTGCCTTCCTCTAAAACATGGGATAGCATGTGTGTCCAGCCTTTTATAAAACACAACCACTACTTGATGAGACGAGAGATAAGGCGGGTTCGGCGCAGATCCCGAGACAAGACACTGCTAGCCGAAGGGTGACCTCGTCCCGAAGAGCATAACTGTCAATGGACCAGCCATTATTCGTCAGTCATCCAACAAACTAGTTGGTTACTCCATAGTTTATCTAGCAACTCACTCACTCGGGAAGGGTTGCTTATTAATTCATGCCCTTGAGGTCCACCGCCAGATACTGAAAGAAGACTTGGCCGCTGTCGAAAAACCTCGTCCCGAGCTACAAGTTCTCGGCAGATAGTCCATCTTTTATCTGACCAAGCGGGCGGTTTTTGAGATCTGACTGGCAATGCCGGTTGGTCAGACACGACGGCTTGCAAACCGGCGTCTCCGCGTGAACAGCGGATGGTAAGCCAAAGTATCGTTTGAACATCGTGTCGAGCACGACTGATGCCCTCGGAAGCAAGACATGTCGTGCCCGTCACGTCAAGTGCGACGAGGGGCGTCCCTCGTGCGCAAATTGCGCGAAGAGAAATCGACATTGTGAATATGATCGGCCCCATATCCACAGGGGCGCGGTGCGAGTGAACCCAGGCAAGAGCAGCCCTGCGACAAACAATGCCGAAAGTAACTCCGATCGTACTACTGCCTATGACCATCTCCGTACGGAGGAGCATGATCACGGAGACGTGGTCCTTTCCTTATCTGAGAAGAGGGTCAGACCTGATGCTCTAGGCAACTCGAGGCTCCCCCACAGGAACCCAGACGCCTTGCCCATTTCTGAGAGATCGACAACCCCTCCAACATGCCTCGTTAACTTGAGAACCATACTTCAGAACGGTGACCTTGGAAAGAATCGTGGCTTTTCCGCTTCAGAACTTATCGCGTCTCATGACGTGCTCGGCCCAAGCAGTCTATACGCAAGCGAACATATTCCACCTCATATTCCTCGGGACTATGCCGGCAACCAACCGTCAAATCTTCATGTCGAGCAGGACCTTGTGCTCTCTGATCATGAAATTCTGATCTTCCGTAATTACGTTGACCGTGTCTCTAAATGGGTGAGCAAAGATAGTTTTTGATGTTTGTTGAACTGTTTTTGATGGTATCCACGACCCCAGGTAGATTCATTCTCGCATGAGCAGCCATTCCACTGGATAGTACCAGTGCTAGCCTTACGATGTCCGGTTCTGCTACACTCCTGCTTAGCAATGTCTGCTAAGCAGATGAGTCTAGTTGCAGCCCATGAGGAACAGCAAGTCCTATATGACCGCTATGCGGTTGGCTACTACCAACAGGCCTTGCTTGCAATGAGTGGATTGATAGGACGTCCGGACATCGCAAGCAGTGACGAGATTCTCGCTTCGAGCATTATTCTTTCAACGTAAACGCCTATTCTTATATCACTCCTCGAATGCATGAGCCATTGCTGACTGTATAGTTATGAGATGTTAGATGTCATCGGCGACAGTTTTGGTTCTCATCTACGAGGGGTAGCCAGTCTGATATCTTCCTACGGGGTCAATGGGGCTCAGCCTGGCATCAGAGGGACTACCTATTGGACATGGTATCGACACGATATCTGGGCAGCGCTGCAGACCGGCCGTCCAATGATACTTGACGAAAGCTACTGGCAGCCACCCCCCGTCGAGTCTTATGACAGTTTATCAGTTCAAGATATTGCTAACCGAGTCATCTTTATTTTCGGGCAGTGTGTCACCTTATGCGTCAATGGTTCTCTCTCCGAATCGCAGGCCAAATGGGACCGCGCAGATAAGCTTGACAGCTGTCTCGATGAGTGGAAAAAGAAGTTGCCACGATCAATGACCGCTGCAAGTCTCTTCCAGTCCACAAGAGGGCTTGAAAATGGTTATGGCTTCCACTCATTATGGTTCACATACCCTCAAAGTGGTAAGCGCCCTCACACATTTCATCATCGCTGCAACTGACCGAGCTGTGCAACCAGGCATTGCGCATCAGGTCTACCACGCCTCAAAGATCCTTTTGTCCTTCTGCCGCCGACCAGAACCTTCTGGGGCTCTCAACATCCTCCAAAGTAATCCTCTCTTAAACCGCCGACAGGTCGAAAATTCAAGGCACCAAATTGTTATGATTGCCAATTCTGGAATTGGAGAGGTTTGGAGTCTTTTTTCGACGCAGTGCCTCTATGTAGCCGGCCTGGTGACAGAGGGTGTGCTAGAACGAGAGCGTACTTTGGAGCTTATCGAAGAATGTCAGAGAATATCTGGTCGTCGAACAGTCTGCATTGCTGATCAACTACGTCGCTACTGGTCGCAGAAAGCCTAGTGCTAGAACAGTTGTGTTGGCTGGACATGGTGGACGATGAGCTTAATAGTTACCGTGTTTCTGTCTTTCAGTTGTCTGGCTCTATGAAGAATTCGTCCTGTGCATAACTATGGAAGCATACATACTTTTCCAGAGGAACCATGCCACTTGGTAAATCCAACAATGCCGGCGKAAATTGCCGTTGTATCTGACCTCCACACAAGCCCATACCACCGCAATCCGACGCTCCCGAACAGTATATCGAAGTAACCTCGTTTCCAAGCTTCATGCTGGGATTGCGTAGCGCATGCTCTAGGTTGCAGCAATACCACATCTTAACTGAAGTGGAGCTATGATCTTTATTGCCCGTTGCGTTCACTCCACCTGCGATCAAACACAGCCAGCGATCTTTGCGCTAATATTGACTTCATTAGTCTAGGAATAGCAATTCCTTTAAACAGGTCCGACAAACCAGAAGGAACCACGTCCAATGCTTTAATCGACACGTTGAGAGGCTGATTCAACATATAAACGGCTGCCTGCGCAATATCGTCTGGTGTCAATGGTCTAGGATCGTTAGCCAGAAGATCAGACAAGATGTTTCAAAGGATGCTTACGTGTAACCTTCGAAGAAAGCATCATATTGTTCCTTGTCATGCCCAACGCGCTGGGAGTGGAAATTTGTTGCGACACACCCGGGGCGGAGGGCCAGCACCTTGATATTAGTCCCTATCAATTCATTACGCAACGCATTGGTAAATGCTTCCTGGCAAGCCTTGCTGGCGTGGTAAACGGCTTCTCCTGGAAAAGGCGGCACCTCCAATCCGGTGACTGAGGTAATGTTCATGATGACGCCTTGTTTGCTGGCCAACATTCCTCGATTCAAAACCGCATGGGTTACAAACATGGGTCCGTTGACGTTGGTGGAATTCATTATTTGGATATCGGAAACTTTGAGATTGTAGAATGCGTTCGGTGCACCTAAAGCAATGCCGGCCTGCTCAAACACGTCAGACACATAGCGCACCGCATGGACGATATCAAAGGGGGTTGTCCCTACACCATTAATTAGAACGTCGATAGCACCGAGTTCATTGACCGAGGATTCAACGGCCGCATCAACGGCTTCAAAGTCACCAACATCGACGGCTCGGTGGATCACCCTGACACTGGGATTGCTTTGAGTCAGCTCCTTCGTGAGCTTACTCAACTTGTCCTTAGAGTCGCAGTCATCAGTTTCTCTCCGAGCAGACCAGCCCATATCGTAGAGTTCTCCTACGACGTACCTCTGAACGAGAGAAAAGAATAAGGTCCGCTCCATGGTTTGCCAGATCCCTTGCAATAGCTTCACCAATTCCCATTGAGGCTCCAGTCTGTTGCATAGTGCCTAATTAGACCTCGAGCAGCACTGGACACACTTAAAACTTACCAGGAGCACGATCTTTCCACTCAGTGACATTGTGCAGATTGTTCGAAGTAATCTCAGTGGCTACTTCCCCTTTCGGTTCTCGACGTGAAGACGTGGCTGAGTAGAGAAACTTTCTAAGATAGAGGGTGAATTTGTCTACATATATATTTCAAGCTCTAAATAGCATTTTTCCTTGAAAAACATTTCCCTTAAGGATTACCCGCAACAGCAAGGTTGCCGTGATGTCATCTGCGGGAGCTTCGAGACGAGGAGACGGGCGCCTTTTCCCGAGATGGATCCACCAGGTAGATAGTGGTTCATTTCTTCGCATAGTGTTTTCATTGGTACAGAGGATCCCAAGAGCGTGACCACGAAGCATTAGGAGGCTGATATCTTATTCTATATACACTACAGGCCTCCTGCATCGATTCTTCTACCTAATTTGGAGCCACAATTCTCCTTTCGTCGTTGAGTCGCTGTCAGTGTTTCCCCTCTCTCACTGCCTAGTACCACGTGGATCCCAGTATTCAACCATAAAAATCGATACCGATGTTGCGTCCGCAGAGCTGGAACGCTTGAAGCGCAAGCTGGGAGACACTCGCTTACCACCACGTGAAATCGTTCCTGGGGCCGGAACACGTTATGGGGAGGGTTATATTCCCTGCTGTTTTGACCGTACTGCTATCATCTCTACTAGCTAGAGATGGTTGTCTGGACACATTTTGTCTGAGTGGTTTGATGTAGGACAGAATGCATTCGGTCCACCGAAAGCAACGCCGGCCTGTTCAAACGCGTCAGCCAGAGTGTTTGCTGGCTTGCCTTTTTTGTTGTAGTCGACCGCGTCGGAATGAATCTGGTCTAGTCGTATGTACCTTACTTTTCTTCGTTGACACTGTCTACAAGACGATCTGCCCAGGCAAGATGAGCGTGGGCAATCCTAGGAGGAAATCGTTCTTCATGTATAGGAAGTGCTAGGGCGTTTCCCTTTCCTTTTCAAAAGGGGCATAGGAGTCTCGACCAGCGATCCAGGAGGGGAAAGGGAGATTACTCCGAACTCATCAGCACGAAAGAAAAAGTACTGAAAATTTTCTGATACATACTAAGCTGTGAGTCCAATAGCAATGGCGGACTAAAGTCAGGGTTACAGTGACTAACACTTAGGCTCCCCGACACCTTTCTTGCTTTCATTTTTCTATCCATCAGTTCCCAACTTCCCATGTACCAGATTCTCAGTCTTCTTGTGTGTGCATACACGAAAGAATGGTGAACTTACACAAATTCTGTCATTGGCAATGGAAACCGTATGTTGTCATGTCTAGTACTTTGAAGGTTATCGCTAATGTAAATTAGAAACAAGCAGTATTCAGTATAAATAGCTGCCCGGCAGACATATTGTACTCGGTGTTCCAGTTTCTATCATCTGCGGAACTGCATGCACTATGTCTTGTTAACAAAATGTGCCGCACAATTGCTGAGAAATTCCTCTACTCAAAGATCCATATGACTTGGCTAAGAGCTGACCGTCCTCCACCAATCACTCAACTCCTACGGACACTCTTATCCAGGCCTCAGCTAGCCGCTTACATTACAACTGTACACCTTGACGGCAATCTCTACGATCACTCCAATTTTCAATTCAAAATTCCTCCGGTCTCTGGCGCTGAACTGGACCAACCGATCGCATTCATCCGGGGCACTGGTGCCCCCTATAGCGACCTTTGGATACAGGAATTGCGCCAAGGTTCTATAGATGCTTTTGTTGCTCTTCTATTAGCACAGCTCTCAAATGTGAGATATCTGTACCTTGCCAACGACTTCACTCGACAGAGTGCACTTGTCGGTATGGTTCTCCGATCTGCGATCTGCGAGCCCGTGCATTATGGCCTGCCCGACTTTCGGTATCTCCGAGATGTCTCTTTCCTCAAACCCGACGGTCAGGATTGGGCCCGCGATATGAAGGTCAAAACTACTCAAGATGTCTTGCCATTCTTTTATGTGCCGAGTGTCCAACGCATGTCAGCTTCGATTGAGAATCCATCTGAATTTACGTGGCCTGCAGCACACTTACCTGTCCCATCAAAGCTTACATCACTTGAGTTGACCATTGTGCGGGAGGCGCATCTCGGTGAACTGCTCGCACTCACTCAGAACCTTGAAACCCTTCGCTGGCATTGGTATTTCGATTATGGTGTCATAGACAAGTTCACTACGCCTATCGCCAATCTCGATTGGATTGTTGCTGTGATATCTCGTGTTCGAGGTACTCTGACGGATTTGACCCTCGCAGCCGAGTGCGGCTTAGGAGGCGGTGACCAATTCCTTCCTGGCATAAAGATGGTGGGCTCGTTGCAATGGATGGTCGGTTTTGACAAGCTCAAGAGACTTCAGGTCCCCTGGCCATTCCTGGTGGGGTTCGCACAGGACATGACGAAACGATTGCAGGATGTGATCCCAAGGAATATCGAATTTCTAACCATCACGGACGACTTGAGGCCACAGAATGAAGATGGAGTGGTAAAGGCATTGCCTCGATGGGAGTGGACGGATGACGCCATGCTAGGCTTGCTTCAATTATGGCTGAAGGATTGGAAGGCATGCACGCCGCACCTTCGTGGCATTACTCTGCTACTAAGCTGGAATGACGACAATGAATGGTCCCTTAGGATGAGGGACCAACTCAGGGAGCTAGGCGCTCACGCAGGAGTTGCACTGGAGCTAACCGAATTGGATGTTGATATTTTCGGATATTTATCCTCGTTCACTTGAGCCACTTGCCCATAGTCAAATGACTCGACGCAACCACAAATAAGACGCTCAATATGTAACTTACACACTACAATGGGCGTAGAACATAATGTGATCTGGCTTTTGTCTGGAATTCCCCCCTGCGAGAGTGGTCAAATTATAGGACTCACTCGGTTTTGATATGGTTGAATGGGGTATGTATACGTGGATCGACAATGCGCGTAAAGTTCGGAAGTACTCTTTAAATGAGCAGCTTGCTGAGCTGGAAGTAGTAATGCAATCCTATAAAAAGGTTGTCCGTACCTCGGAATTTCCATTGGGTGGTGTAGATTGATTTGACATACACTCAAGTTGATAGATATAGAAGATCGGAGCATGAGCAGGAACTCATCTGCGCACTTGCTTCACTATGACCGGTCGATGGACAGTTTCTTAGGTAGCACAAGCCAGGATGAGGTGCAGAAATGCAATTACATATATTGCCATAAGGATTTATAGCTAGTGCAGAAGCCGATTTGATTAGGACCATTAAGTTATGGTCGCAGTCTCCGGTTAAATACAAATCAATTTCCCAAAATTTATATACAATATATCTGTATATAGATAGGTATATAATTAATGGCAATGAGCTGTGGTCATTTCACTGTAATGCGGAAGCAACCTGAGGTCAGATTCCTTTACAGCTTAGGACTTTCATCACATGCATCTAGCATAGCTTTGTGCATTTCCTATCGATATACTAACGGAAATTGCCTCATGCTTTTTGTCGTCTAATTAGTGGATAGACCAATTAGCAGACCACGGCTAAGGGCGTAAATGACTCTTTCGGAAGATTGTATCATCTATATCCTACCCTAACCTATTCAGTTGGGGGTTGAAACACCTCCTGGGGGCCGGCGCTGTTAGGGGCCAGAATAGCCTTGCTTGGAGACAAGAGACGAGAGGGGAAATGGAAGGTATTTCATGACTGTAGCCGGACGATTCTACTTATGAGGTTACAATGGTCATTGAAGGATGCTATAAGGACTACAATGATGAACAAAATCTTAGAGAGACGACCAAGAGCAAATGCTCTGATGTCCATATCTGGCAGTGTAGATCTTGCTACATACCAAACTTGATATCAGACTGGCAGAGAGACGCAGCAAGAATTAGTAGCGCCACTACATATCTCGTTCCAATTCATAACGAGACTTACTGGTCTATGATAGACCAGGTCTGCTGTGTACCGAGCAAGACAATTGTAATTAGGCAATGAGAGCTGCTTGGCGAGAGATATTGAGGTGTCGGTGAACCAAGATCACCGTATATGCTCCATAAATCATTCAATATAGGTATACCGCTTCTTTGGATTCCCGATGCTCCGACTACTGTAGAGACACCCACCGAGTCAATCAACAGGAAACACGGACTGGATACCATCCTAAGAGTCGACCGTTGAATAAAGCGCATGAGCGGCCCACTATCGATCATGTGGCAATCAAAATGTATGCTCGGGTCCGTCGAAGACAGTAAATAGCAGTCAGACAGGATCCACAGCCGTCCTCAAACCCAGGACTCCCCCCCTCCACCAAAAAAAAACCAGAGGGCAGGTCATGGAAGATCGAAAAAAGTTGTATTAGTTTGAAAAGGGTTATCTTAGATTGATGGCGGGTCCAGTCCTGTCCAGTTGCTCCGACTCTAAGAGCTGTTAGCTTGAGAGTTTGTGTCCTGGTTCTTGGCAATGTCTCAGAGGACATGCAGAGAATTTTGCAGTGCATGAGCCATGGGTTGGTAATAGCACCAGTAGACTAGTCCAGGTACCCAGATATTTACTGGTGTGAGACATGAGCAATTAGACGCTGATGAGGTTCTGCTCTAAGCTTCGCTTAGCCATAGCTTCTCTTGGCTTGGCGCAATGGCCTTGTTTTCCGGGCCAATCTTCTTCCTTCATTCTCTCGGTGAATGACTACATACCCCCGTCCCTTTTGGGGCCTTGGCGATCCAGGCTTGGCCCATACAAGCACGCCTAGGTATTCGCCGAAACTGTTGCCACCGGCGCCGAACGTAATACTATCAGATATTGCGGCATTTTCCTAATTCAGTGCTAATTTCTACTCGGTTCCGCTTGTAAACATTCACCAGAAAGGTCAATTGTATGGTACCTGTATTATTTTGGTCAAGTCATCACTCTATCAGTTCTGTTCCTGAAATGCCTGAGACCTTAGTCTAGCGTGGAGATAGGAGACAAGGGAATTAATTTGCCTCCAGTACAGTAAATATCATGCCCATCCCATGATCGATCTAGGCCTAGGATGATTGAACAGGAAGACAGTATCTCAAAGGATAGTTTTCATGTGATTTATAGCCTCCTGCGTAGGTTCTGCTCTTGCCATCAAAGCAGATCTCTCCCAGGCATGCATGCATCCTTTCTGATCATACTTTAATTCGTGTGGTATGTAAGTAGGTTGAGCTTCAGTATCTCGATATTTTCGTTGACAGGAAAGTCAACAAAAAATACTAGGTAGTTTATGTGGTGTGCATCGGGTAAGCGGCCAGGGTTGGGAGGAAGCGGAGAGCGTTTGCGACCACCAAAACTGGTAAGTGTACCTAGGTACTACTACGTACTAGTAATCTATAAATTTATATCGAAGGTACATATAATTAAAATCAAATTGGATCTTAATCTTGAAAACGATGGCCAGCCTGGTGAAATTTTGAAAAGCTATTAGTATGGTACCTTTTGTTTCGGGGTTTTGCCGAGAGCCTTGAAAAAGCCCCTGGCCCAACTATATCACCCCCACACGGTCCACACCTCCCGATGTAGCCAAATGTCTCTCAATCTTGGTGGGGCAAGTAGTGCCTTTAGTTGGTTTTTCCTGACTAGGAAAGGAGAGCGATTTCTGGAGTTTTACTGCTGAAATCCACGAATGAGGTTGAATCTGGCGGATCGCTCCAGTGACACTAACTATTAGCGTAGGTACCTAGTTTAATCAACAGCAACAAAGCATCAAAGGTCAGAGTTATAGCAACTATCACTTAGACTCCCTGATACCTTTCTCACATTTCAGTTTTTGTTATCCATTAGTTCCCACATACCAGTTCCTCAGTGTTCTTTGCCTACGCATACACAAAAGAGCAGTGAGCTTACAACCTTGGCAATGAAACCTGTATGTGATCAATGGGGGGTGTTCAAGTTTATTACTAATATCCCTAGGAACATCAAGCAGCATCCGGTCTAGACAGCTTCCCAGCAGAAATATTGTACTTGGTGGTCCAGTTACTATCCTCTGCTGAACGCCATGCGCTATGTCTTGTCAATAAAAGATTCCGCATAATTGCTGAGCCGTTCCTCTACGCCCAGATTCAATGGACATGGACAAACTCTCAGAACCCCCCGGTCGCTCAGTTTTTGCGAAGTATTGTGCGCAGGCCCGAGCTGGCTAGTTTTGTCCATGTTTTGATCCTTAATGGGGATAGTTTCGACCTTAGCTGGCATAACTATAAACAGAAAAGTCCCAAACTCCCAGTCACTGAAGTGGTCTTAGATGGGCTAGAGAAATGCATCAAAAAGATCCGCATTCCATATGCTGAACAATGGATCCAAGAGTTGCGCGCCGGAACAATGGATGCATTTATCACACTTTTATTATCACAGCTCCCTAGCCTGAGACGTCTCTATCTAGGCAAGAATTTTGCCCGAGAGAGCCGCCTCATGGGCATGATGCTCCGCTCGGCCCTCTGTGAGGAGTTCCCAAATAGCCATCTTCCTTCCTTTACACATCTCCAAGATGTGTCAGCTGTGTATCCTGACCTTGGTCTCAACATTCGCAAATACACAGATGTCAGGAACACGGCAGACGCCCTCCCCCTCTTTTACTTGCCTTCGGTTGAACGGATAAAGGCTCTCATCGATAACCCTGCTACTTTCATTTGGCCTGGGAAATATCTGCCAAATCCATCGAGACTCGCATCGCTCGACTTGACGATGTTGCGCGAAGGGCATCTTGGTCAAGTGTTATCAGTGACCCAAGGGCTCCGGAAGCTTCAATGGGATTGGTACTACCGCCCAGATCTTGAAGATCATTTTGTCACGGATATTATTGATTTAGACCAAATCGCCGCGGATCTATCTCATGTTCAAGAGACTCTGACAGACTTGACTATTACAGCAGGGTCAGACGTCTCACAAGCGGACCCTGAACTCCCGGAGGTCACATTCCGCGGGTCTTTTAAAACTTTTAGCGGACTCCATATGCTGAAAAATTTGGAAGTTCCAATTGCATTTCTGCTTGGATTTTCTCCATCAACGCCAAATGTAGTTGGCCTAGAGGAAGCACTTCCAGAAAGCATTGAATGGCTGACCATCACTGACGATCTATGTCTCCAGCGTGAATGGGAATGGTTCGAGATTGAATACCTATTGAGGGCTGTTCGATCATGGCTACAAGACTGGAAGAGATTCACGCCTCGCCTCCGAGGATTTGGTCTGTTGTCGAGGATACACGAAATGGTGGAAGACAGGGAGTTGATTGAAGGGCTCAGAGACATAGGTTCCCAGGCAGGAATTCAGTTTCAAATAATAAAAAACGAACTGAAGTGAGCAGATCAAATGTAATTATAGCTCCAGTTTCTGCCACCGATATCTCTTCAGACCACTATTTGATATTTAAAAAAAAAACTCTGGGGTCACCCCCGCATAACTGAATCTGGTCGATCCTGATCGGGCCTCCTGCAAGGTTTGCCAGCGTGTACGGCTCTGGCGGCGTCTTCCTATCTAAGACTCTGAGCGGAAAGACATAGTCATGAGGACATTGGTTACTTACCTCCCTGCCAGTTCCACATGGATCAATCTGTTTCCATTCAACGCCGCGCACTTTGACCCATGTGCCAACCCTCGCTTTTTGATCTTTCAGGGGAACATCGTTATTTCTATAGTATAGATGCGCCGCCATAGGCTCTGCGCAACTACCTCCGTTCTTGTGTATCTCCGACTCTTTGCCACGTGGGCTGATATCTCGCCAGACCATCTGGCATTTCTGTAGACTTTCGCCGACTGGCGTCTGGCCGTTAAGAAAGTCCTAGGAGAAATGGTCTGCTCCCTTCATAGAGGAGGCAAGGATGATTTCATTGCCCCAGGCCAGAATTCCCATCGCTGTGGGCTCTGCGTCGCCTCTGATGATGCCATACTGCTTTCGGTCTACTGTCATTTCGTCGACCGCATCTCGCGCGATTTGCCAGAGCTGCCCGTCTGAGATTGGAGGGTCCTCCTCATCAGACTTCCCGACGGGACTCGCAAACACGATGTGGCTGCTATATTGCCAATTGCGCTTGGCATTTTTAATGTTGGCGTTCTGTTCCTGTGGCCAATTTATTGCAAGGCCATGGTMGAGGGTGACTTTGAGCGGGCCAAGCGGGTCCTTGGGTACCGAAACACCGGGTGACAATCGGCAACATTAACCCAGGATCCTCCATGTGCTTCAGCGTACGGGCTATCGGTACGGATGGAAATGAGGCCGGGGATACGAATTCCGTGACTGCTACTACCCAGAGCCTGTCCAATAACTAGGCCGTAACGAACGTCAGAGTCGGAAAATCAGCCACCTCCACTACCATCCAGGCCGATTTCCTTGTCCCATACGCCTTTATGCGCGTCTATCTTACAGACCCGGACACGCGCTGTCAAATGCCGGCATGGCCAATCAACTACAACACCGGTAACTTCATCTGCACGCATTACATGGTCGAGAATGAGGTCCTGTACCAGTATAGTGGGGCCAACCTAACGGAAGGGCAAACCAACTACCCCTGGGCGTGGTCCTCCGTCGGCGCGGCCCCAGTCAAACGTGACGGCTATACCTTCACGTGGACTCTCCCCGTTGGCACCGACACCACAGACTCTAGCTATTTCTCCGTCCAGGCTCAGGGCTACGGGCCCCTGGCCAACGTCTTCCACCCGTGCCTGAGTCAATGGGACGACGGCAAGCCGGGTGCCGGGGCATTCTGCACTGGGACGTCGCCATACGACTGCAAAGGCGAGACGCTCTGCAGTACTACCAACGTCAAGTGGTGCGACAAGGCCGTCAACCAGATGAACCGCGGCAAAACGATCTACAACGCAAATGCAGAGGCACTCGCTCTTTCCGGGAACTGCTGGTCAAACAACGCGGGGTTCGGATGCTCGGTGCAAATCCGAGGCACGGATCAGAATGGGAAAAACTGCCAGATCACCGGCGACGAGATGTGGCAGGCTTACCAGGATATTCGCAATGTTGGGGGCTGTAAGAAGTGCGGGACCAAGCATTTTGGGAATGGATGTATGGTCAGCGTCGACTATTACTATGGCTGTGATAACCGGGATTCTGGCGTGCAGTTTATGGCGGCTTTCGCTGAGACTAATCTAACGGACTATATTTAGCAACTTTGAAGCCATTTCATTATTTACCTATCACCTTCTTACCTATGGAGTTGATGCTCTTGCTAGGCTATAGCTAACTATGCTGAGGACATACACCTGAATGCCTGTACGCGTTTGAAGTACTCTATGAGTCTCCTAGCTGATTTTGCTTCGTTGGAGACCCTTGCGCAGCCTGTGTCTGGGTAGGCGAGCAGAGTTTTAGGCAGAGTAGAAACAGGTGAGTTATTCAGGACTAAAAAGGTGTGCCACCTATGAATCCACATCTCAGCTGCATTTAGGTTACTTGTGCTGAAGGGGACACTAGTCGTGGATTGATGAACAAGAAGTTATAGTCATCATATAAGCACATGGTATTTGCATATATAGCCATCTGTCAAGAACATATTGCAGTTACCCCTTTTTTGTAGTCATAAGCTACTATACCATGGTATGAGCCATTTTGACATTCTTCTCTTTGCATCATTCTCTGAACAAGTGATGGATTGCCCGCCTGTATTTACCTAGCAAAAGCAAACTCTATGCTGTGATGACTAGTCAAGCATAAGTTCATGGAATTTCCGAGGAGGAAGAGAGAGGATCCTGCATTTAATGGATAGGACCATGTAGATACGAGACCGACTCATGGAGTCTCATGCATGCTATGGCTAGATCAAAGACAAGCCCAGCTGTGTGTGACACGGCTTCTTAGCGCCCACCTTTAGCAGCTGTCGACTTCAGTAGAGCATCAGAAGTCCTCATAGGTCATATCAGCCAGTGTATGATTGCACCACCCAGCATGAAGCTGACACGTCATTAATGCAGAGGCTAGTGCTTAGCATGCCCATGAATATTCTATTATTAATAGTGATTAACTTAGCTAGAGAGGTCAGAAGTACTGATTACTAAGGTAAAATTATCTACCCTTCTCTATAACTTTATTAAAATATGTTTATTTCTGCTGCCACCTGGAAGACTAGAATACGATTTATCCTATATTAGTGCACTAGATCCATAGAGTAGAAATACAGAGTAGTAACCAGTTCTGTGGCCTATTTAGGCACCCTTGATCAGAAATTCTTTCACACTGACACAACTAGCCAACCAACTGAAAGAGTGATGCCTCCTCAATATGCTTAACGCGCATGGTCTCGGCATAACTTGCCTTCAGGACATTCATGCGGTAGTAGAAAGCCCCGTCATACAAGACAAACATGCTAGGCAGACCGCGGGGGATCAGAGCGAGACAATCATCGGGCTCAGGACGGAAGCCAAGGCTGTACCATGTTGAGCAATGTGCGCACGAACTGGCCCTGGAATGCTGCCGGCATTCTTCTTTCAGGTGCGGGACAAGATCATCTTCCATCAAGACAGTAAGGTACATGCCGTCATTTGCGCGGATCCGCGTCCTTCCTTCATGCACCGAGAGCTGAAATGGCATTCCGGCGCTGTACGGATTGCCGCCGAAGATGAGCTTGCCGTTGAAATTACTAGCATCACCATACCAAAGGCCGTCGCAAGTAACGGGATACAGAGCAAACTGCTTATCGGGATGGTAAAGGTCGATTCCATCTGCAGAAACAGGATGAGCGGGATTGATAATAGGCTCGGATAGTGATAGGATAGGAGCACTATCAGCGCTGTCGGTCGTGTATGGGTCCGCTGGGTCGATCTCAACGTCAAGTGCTTCATCGATATTGTCCGTCCAATGCCCCTCTCGAGAGAGGTACTGTGACCCACGGCAGATGTGAAACACGTTGTCCTCGTAGATGGGATGACTGTTAAGCTGGCCAACGTATCTGCGATCTCTGATTATGTGCATGTCATTATCTGAAAGATAAAACAGGCTCCCGTGGCCATGGTAATCATTGTGTAGCGTGAAGCTATTGTCCTCATAGCGAACAGCAAGGTATTTGGCAGTGACTATGAAACGAAACGGCCTGTCCAGTCCCTCGTCATCCGAGTTGAGCTGTTCTTCCGCCATGATAATCTGTTTAGAGTCAGTCTCTTCTTGTAAGGGACTCTGGGGCAATGCCACAAGATAGTCGGTAGTTACCTATGGTGGGACAGCCTGTTTCAAATCTCGGTTGGGTAGTAGATAGACTAGATAGAAGTAGATGGAGGTTGGATTAAGTTATATACACGATGTGGGTCCCAGGCAGCCATGGGATCTCATCCTAAGGCTCAGGCATTAACCTTAGGCTCCACAGCTTATCTAGGTACCTAGTTTAATCAACAGTGATAAAGCATTAAAGGTCAGAGTTACGGCAACTATCACTTAGACTCCCTGACACCTTTCTTACATTTCAGTTTTAGTTATCTATTAGTTCCTATATACTAGTTCCTCAGTATTATTTGCATACACATATATAAAAGAGCAGTGAGCTTACAACCCTGGCAATGAAACCTGTATGTGATCAATGAGGTGTTCAAGGTTATTATTTATATCCCTAGGAATATCAAGCAGCATACCTGACGAGACCTTCGGAACCAAATTGGAATGGCCCTCAAAGGTTCGCAGCTCCGCGCCGGTCTGGGCATCCCAGAGCTTGATGGTTATATTTTGCTTGATGAGAGCTTATCTTAGTTTCTGAAGGGCCAAAACGGCTATGGCTCTCATGATGCTACGGGCTGCGGCTCCGTCTCTAGGTCGCCCGAGCCTCCCACGGCACTGCATGTAGCATATTGAAATTCCTCTCCACCAGTACCCATCCCGGGACGTGTAGGTCTCAAAACGTATTTAGCCACCATAAAGTTCCTCCACCTTCGTGATATCTTCTACAAACGTAGCGCCATACTCTCTCATGATCTGTATCTTCTCCTCCATATTCATCGCTAAACGCATTCTCCCAAAATCCCTTGGCAGTTGTTTGGCACTCGCAAACCTCAACACCCATACGCCCACTCCATCCGTCGGCCAACCAAACTCCACCATCTTTGCTTCTTCCTCAGTCATCTCCCTCCCATCAAGCTGCACCTCAACCCAATCCTCCCTACTCGGCCACCACGTCGCACCAGTCCGTCGCAGGAGATTACAGAATCTGTCTTCTTCATCGGCACTGGGTGAGCGCAGTGATACATGAGAGCGGGGGAGCATTAGGAAAAGCATGTCGAGAAGGTCAGCCTCTTTTATGAGAACCCCGCCAGCGGAGGGATAGCCGTAGACAAGGCATCCTCGGGTGCCGAACTCAGTCCGTTCAGTCGTGGATTCAGGAGGGTTTGTAGGGCATGAGCAGTCCGGTTGGTCGTCCATTACTGTTCGTTGACGAAAAATAGGGAAACGGTTCACGTTGATGGGAAGTAAGCGGCCAATGGTTTGTTGGCAGAGAGTCGATAGAAAGGTAGAGATGATGGCGACGAGCATGCTGCTAAACCCCATGCTTCAATAAGGCTACAAATGAAGACCGATATTGGGTATCACGTAACTCGACCTCAGAAGCCATGAGCGCGCTCTCAGGGTCATGCAGATTACCGTCTCAATATGTAGGAATTGGGGGAAGCTCCCTTCAACTGATTAGGCAGAAACTTGAAATCCGGGGCTGTCCGAGCGATCCAGACGGAGCGTTTGCGGCGCTGTGGTTGGGCGCTAGTTTAGGGCGAGGTACGGTAGCATACATACTGAAGAGAAAGAATATACATGGGGTTCACCTGCATCTGATAATGCCATCATCATGAGGCAATTGTAATTCTTATAATACAGTCAGCGCACCACTTTAAATATCCCTTCTCTATGTAGGAATCATATACCCGTAGGACAACACCAAAAATGTCCAGCACAGAATTTAGAAGTGATGGCAAGATCAGGGGCAGAGTCGACCTGGAGGGTCTCCCTCCAACAGTCAATGTTTATCCATGGGAAGGGCCCAATCATTTCCAGAACATCGTCGATTCAGAATTCCATCAATTCAAAGATCCCGAACGCTCAACCCCCTGCGACTGGATAGTCTTCTCTGACGTTTCCGAAACCATTTTCAAACGCGACTTCGAAGAAGAAACCGATCTGAGCAAACAGTGGAAATCATATAATCCCTCCCGGCAACTCCTCTTCGTTGAAATCGCCAGGGGTACTCCCGAGCATACAGAGGCTACGCAGACTTTCAATGATATCTTGAAGGAAGCGGTGGATCGGATGGGACTGTCGACTGCCTTGAAAAATTTCTCAGGCACCAAGGTTCGAGGAGATGACTGGGCCAAAGTACCCGATAATGGCTGGGGTCCAAGGCGTCCTCCGGCCGGTCGTTCTCGAAAATGGCCAACGGTGGTGCTAGAGGTTGGAGTCTCCCAACGGAAGTCAAAGCTCGACCAGGACGCCCGCTGCTGGCTAGAGAAGTCGGAAGGCGACGTCAAAATCTCCCTAGCAATATCAGTGAATCGACGAATTCCGGAGATCGTGCTAGAAAAGTGGAAGGTCAGCAACGCAAAGCCAGCAATGGCACAGAAGGTGATAGTTTGGCGCCACAATGAAGATACCTTGTTCGATAACGAGCCCCTCGTTATTGAATTTCAGGATCTGTTCTTGCGAGAAGCAGACAACCCCGGGGAAGTCAATATTGAGTTCGACCAGGGCAATCTGCGGCGTCTTGCCGAGAACATCTGGCTGGAGCAGGGGTTCATGGAGTAGTTTTAGGAAGAATCGCTAGCCTATCGCAGGGAGCGAATGAACACATTCTCGACTACATCAGCCGATGTGAAGACCTCGAGTCGCAAGCTGGAACTATGGAAGCATTTGGATTGAATGTGGTCCACAGACGACCACCCAAGATGGCCAAATCCCACATCAAGCCCTTCCACGGCAGACGGGATGGCTCGGAAGACCCCGAGGCTTACCTGGAGGACATTGAATATGAGATCAAACTGGAGAAGCGGCACATGGATGATGCTGACTACGTTGGGATGACGACCGACGAATCCTATTCCGCCAAAACCTCCGAGACAAAGCTGAGATCTGGTACAACCAGCTACGTCGGAACGACCAAGAACGATTGGGACCAACTGAAACAAGAATTCACCAAAAAATACCGGGTCAACGAGGTGGATGCCACCACCAGGCGGTTCCAGGTTAGCCCAAGAAGCCTGGATCTTCAGGTCCTGAGAAACCCTCGTTATTATCAAGTGATGGAACACCGGCAAGAGAGCGGTGCGAGCTTAACACCTCGATGTTAAAATATGCTGGATTACTAGCAGGGTAGAGTGTCAGGATCAGACCACTGGGCTAAAGGGAATCATGACGGTACATCCTCAGCTAGTAGTGATATCCAGGATGGTGTGGCTGATCCTGAGACATGAGAGAAACGAGAATCGAAGTCGGTGGTCCACTGTGAGGTGACCCTTTTAAAGTGAAAGGAAAGCTGTGGACCGATGTGACCACCTAGGTAGTGACATTGAACAGTAGTGTAGTAGGAATACTGATGCATACATTGCTTTACAGATCGGCTAATTTATCGCAGCATGTCGTAATATGGGTATCAACATTGCAATTTTCAACTGCTCGGCTCTAGTAATTAGTGCAGAACATTTTCTGGAAGCAAAGCACTGTGCCTTTCTATAAGGCTACATAGAAGAAAGGTAAAGGCATCAATCAAGTCTCCTCAAGTCCCATGCCCTTTCCGATCTTTCGAATCAGAGCCCGCTTCAAGAATGCTTCTCGCGCCAAACTTCGCGTATGCCGCGACCATGTGTCGACACCGATGACTCCCTTGACTAAAGCAGCTTGCAGGGCGTAGATAGCCTGCTGGATTCCTCGTTCTTCGGACACGAGGTCATAAAGCTGCTTACCAACCACGGTAGGGGCGACGAGAACCTCATCGATGGGCGGCAGAGCTGATGGGGCCGCGTCTGAGCCCGAGCTTGAGGCATGGGCTTGCGCAGTGGAGGAGATGCGTGCCTGCGCGGCTGCGATGACGCCGTCGGCACGGTGAAGAGATTGCTGGAGAATAGAGGTGTTGGACTGCAGTGTTGAGTTGAGAGCATTGAGGGAGGAGATCTCGCCTTGTAAGGTTGAGACGGCGGCTTGAAGGGACTGGGACTGGGAGAGCAGCGACTGAGCGGCGGATTCAGACTGGGAGACGTTGGCCTGAACGGTTTCGGCGAGTGTCTTGGACACAGCGTGCAGGAGGGCGTCTTTCTCAGGGTTCGGCGGGATCGGCGGTGCGGGCCCCGTGGGCGTGAATGAGGGCAGTTCAAGCTCGAAGGGTGAGGTCAGGAGATCCGGTGCTTGCGTCTTTGGTTTCGGCGCTGGCTGGTGGGTAGGAATTATCGGCTGCGCTTGGCCATGAGGTAGAGGCTGCATGGCCGGCTGCGGTGGCTGCTGGTAACGAGTACCATTCTGCTGGTAGAATGAGGGATGTGCAGGAGCTTGTTGCACAGGGAACGGCGGCTGCTGAGCTCCTCGCGGTAGGCTGGCAGGCGGGGGACTTCTGGGCGGGCCACCGTCGCCTGGCTGATATGCTGGCCCGGACGTATACGCTGGAATTGCCTGCACTGCATTGTGATGTGGTGGTTGCGACACCCCATACGACCCCGCTGTCCCTCCAGGTGCACCGCTTCGCTCAGGAGGGTACTGGAAAGACCTGTTGGGAATATGACCGCCCATGTTCGCATGGAATTGCAGCGATCGACGTCGTAGGTCTTGTTCTTTTGGCGGTAACGGCGGTAGAGGTGGAGGAGAGTTGTACCTCCCGGCTTGTGGTACTTGCGGTTGTTCAGCAGCAACGGCCTGCCCTGGCTTCGGAGGAGGGGGCGGCGGCGGCACCTGCCCAGTCGGCTGCGGCGGAGCGCTTTGAGGGGTCGGCGAAGGTCGATGCGTCAACGAACTTAGCTCTGGGGGCAGAGGAGGCAAAGGGGGCGGTGTCTGCGTAGGCCCTGCCTGTTGAGGTACCTGCGGTACCTGTGGTTGTTTGTACTTGACCGGCGGTTCTTTCGCAAAGACCTCCCGAAGGATCATCAGAAAGTCGACGAGGTTCGATCTCTGCATAAGATGGCGCAAGTCAGTCACGTTGCCCCCCGGAAAACAGTCCAATGTAAGCTATCAGGAAAACGAACATCCCATGCCTCAGCCCAGTGCGCGAGATAGTGATGATAAACTCTTCCCTCCAGCGTCACATGCTGCCCTACTCGAACAGCCATGTCCTGCGTCGGAGTTACGTAGACCATCGGGGGTTCGCGTGGATACGTGTTGGGAATCCATAATGCAATTGGAAATTTGTAGACGGTGCCGCGAAATGACACTGGTATTGTGCCGGTCAGGTGGAGGAGTAAGGCAGAGAAACCGGTTTCGTATGCTGCGGGATAAACGACCTTCATTAATACCGAGAATCTCAGATTGAATACAAGCAGAGGAAACAAGACCATCAATTGCGCTGTAGCATGATAACTTACTGTACACATCCGTCCGTGGTGAGAGTGAAGGGTATTGTGCGAGGACATTGGCGACATCGTGGTAAGTGCGATTGGGATCTTGGTAGGTTTGCTTGGGATCGTAGTGATCCTGGCAAAGTCAGTATTTCTCTACGCTTGAGGGAATTGAAAGTCGGAACGAACCCGTGTCAGCACACTGTATAGCCAGTTCAATGTCCTCTGCGGCAGTGCAGCCATGTCGAAGGGGCGGATACAGGAGCTCGCATGGTGGGAAGTTGTCATGTCAAGAATGCTTGCCTAAGCTAAAGGCGCTCTCCATCTTCCCCGCATCGCGTCTTGGCTGCGGCCATCACCGCCATCTACATGTGGTACTTGCTTGTGGAAGGCTAAGGGCAGCTCAAATGCATCAAAAATCGAGAAAATACCAGTCATACATAATTGATGTGATCAAAAGTTCCGAGATAAGTTATAGAATTGACTATTGACAAAGATGAGAATAGTAGAGGTCAAATAGCCACGCCGCCATCCATCACTGTCGTTAACGGTATCGCTAATGCACAGATAACACTACATGTACAACCATAGAGTACCCTAACGCCACAGAATGCAAACTTTTTCGCTCCTCCCCCTTCATGGACCCTCAAGAGAACATCACTGGAATAAAGAGATCAAGCTCGGATTTTCCTTTTGACCCTTCTCCCCTTCTGAACATCAGCAGGCTCCTCGTAGACCTCGGTCCAGACGTCTTCAAAAGTGGTCTTCTTCCGACCAATCTGGCCCTCGAAGAAGTTCAATTTACGCACGACCTCCATGGCGCCGGTACCCAGACTAACGGTCTTACCCATAATGATGCATTCGGAGACACCTTCAATAAGATCGGTACGGCCAGCACCACCGGCATCAAAGAGATGGTCCGCAGTCTTTTCGAAGGAAGCGAGCTGTAAAACAGAGTCACGCATCTTTGCAAGACCGAACCGGGTGATACCAAGGACCTCGCCCTTGTACGTCATAACATCAGCGAGAAGTTGCATATGACGAGGGTCAATGTCCATGTCCTTCATGACCTCGCTGATTTCTTGGACGATTGTGACTCTGGCCGCTTCGATACCAAGAACATCACGCATCTCCATGACATTGTTGGTAGAAGTGTGGAGACCATTGACACCAAGCGTGGTCATACACTCCTTGAGGCCGTAACCTTCGACAAGAAGTGTATTAGTGCTGGAGGTGTCGTCGGTCCGGATGATGGCGCGGCTTGCTTGCGGGTGACCAAGCACCTGTATATCAGGAAGTATGCGCTTGAGATGCTTGAGGCGCAGAAAAGGATCAGCACTGGTTGCTGCAACTTCAGTCTTGGACAGAGATGCTTTGCTGGCAGGGTCAATGTCCATATAGATATGGATATGAGAATTGGTGCTTCGGAATTTCAGATCATCAGCCTTGAAACGCTTGTGGTTCTTGATGGCGTCGACGATGTTCCTGATCTTAAGCTCAAGCGCCAGGTTCTGGATGGTCTCCCAGTTAATCTTGACAGTAAGGTAGGCCTCCTTGCCAGTCCAGGCTTCTCGGACATAGTGAATGATATCTCTCAGATACGTCTTTTCAATACGTCCCTTGACGATACGTGCCGCAATGACATTATCTTTGGTGACAAGGTCGCAGGAAATCACAGGGGTGCTGATCTCCTTCGATGCGTTGATAATTTCCTTAATACGAGGAACACCTTGAGTGATACTCATACCAGCGACACCAGCAAAGTGGAAGGTCTTCAAGGTCATCTGGGTTCCTGGTTCACCGATCGACTGCGCACCAACAGCACCAACGGCGTGGCCAGGCTCGACCTGTGCCTTCTTATACTTCATCAAACATGATGTAATGAAGGTTCTTAGTGTCTTCTCTGTCAGCTTTCCGGTGTGGTTCAGGCCTTTCTGGCTCCTCTCATCTGACGGATCAATATCACCACCACGGGAGATAAGCTTGTCCGCTTTGCTGGAGATGTATTGCTGAATCGACTCAAGGAAGTCACGCGCACTCTCGAATTGATCAACACCGTGGTCGCTTCTGTCCATGTAAGGAAGGTTATTGCCCAGCAGATCTTCGCGAACCAATTTCGCACGCTCCTTGGAAAGCATCTCTTCACATACTTCCATAATTTCATGTGGAAGCAGACTCCGCTCATCATTATCGTATGTGATGGACTCAGCGTGAATGAAAGTCCGGTCAAAGTGGACAGGCTTAGCTTTACCTTCCATATCGACAGGATCCAGCTTGTCGTCACCATATTGGAACTGGACGATAGCATCTGAAGAGTTTCGGACAGTGTCATCGTACCGACTTGAAAGGTCCTCGAGAGACTTCATGAGACGACGGGACATGTAACCAGTCTCTGCTGTTTTGACAGCAGTATCGACCAGACCTTCACGACCAGACATTGCGTGGAAAATGAACTCAGTAGGCAACAGCCCAGAAAAGAAACTGTTGCGCACGAAACCTTTTGACGGAGGCTGTCGAGCGTTCTTCGGAAAATGGGGCAGCGTTCTGTCCTGGAACCCGTCTTGCACACGTTGACCACCGATAATTTGTTGACCGACGAGAGCAACCATCTGCGACACGTTGATACTGGAACCCTTCGATCCCGAAGTAGCCATGATCAAAGGAGAGTTGTACTTGCTAAGTTGAGCAATACACTCGTCACCTGCTTGTTGACGGACCTTGCTGAGAATACCAGACAGTTGGTTCTCCATAGTCTGCAACTCATCACAGCCAGGGTATTTCTCAAGTGTGCCAGCCTTATATTTGGCAATGAC